AAGAAGATGAAGTTCAGGTGATGACATTCGAGCAAGCAGAGAAGTGGCCGATGAATCCATTCGACGTCACTAAAGTTTGGCCACATGGCGAATTCCCACTGATCCCTGTGGGCAGAATGACACTCAACAGAAACCCGAGAAATTATTTCGCTGAGGTAAATTTGCTTTATTATCCATATTTTTCAAAGCTGCTTTTGTATACAGAAACAGTTGTAAACCTATCCGCGAAGTTCCATAACTAGTGAAGAGAGCGACCGCATGAGTCGTCTCTCTTCACTTTACCTATTGTGAGCAGAACCTCTTCAACTATTACTTGCAGGTAGAGCAAGCTGCCTTCTGTCCTGCCCATGTGGTTCCTGGAGTCGAATTCTCCCCAGACAAGATGCTCCAAGGTCGAATTTTCTCCTACAAAGATACTCTTTCCATCGTTTGGGTGCGAACTATACCCATTGCCCATCAACTGTCCCTACAGGGTCGACCCTACAACACCCTGAGGGACGGTGCTGCTTGCTACGACAGTCAAGGTGAGTTCAGTGCTCTAATTTGGCAGAAATGTTCAGAGGCTCATCCGTTACAGCTTTTCTCCTTTTAGCGCTTCCGATCAAAGGCCCCTTCTTTCAAGGCACCTTATGGGAGTCCCGGATCAACTGTCGTGTTTCGTTGAGAAGAGGGTCACATTTGGTTTGCTGAGAGAGGTCGGCCTTCATGGGGGTGGTTTATAAGCTTTCGGAAATAATGAAGATTCCGAAGAGGTTTTATTGTGACAACTGCTGCTCGATGCCGCAGTTCGCGCTTCGACAGTTATCACAAAAGTGCTAGTCATGGGCGAAGGTCAGGACCCAGGCGGGACCAACTCTTCCGTTTACCTCTCTCTGGTTCAAAGAGCTGCCATTTCTGGTGAATTGGGGGATTACTGGACGTGAATCTGGGGCAGAGAAATATTTAGAGAGGAACGTATGTCGTCACGGAGGGGAATTTTCTTTGTCCTGTCCCCTTTCCCCCCCCCTCCAAAGGAGGCAGGGGTCGCATAGAATATTGGGAGGGGTCAGAAGTTTTCAGTACCTTCACGTGCTCATGATGTGCCTTGTGTGTCCCGGAGCTCTTTCTTCCCGACTTTCAAATGGAGAAGTTGGAGAGAGGTGTGGCGGGGTGTGGGGTGGGGGAGGAGGGAGTGAGGAAGGAGAGGGACCTGTCACCCACTTTTGCTCTATCCCTTGAATTCTTCGAGTAACGCACACTGTAACCTCATGCGTGCTTTCATAATGTTTAACGCTTTTCCTTTAATGAATTCACCCTTAACAACGATCAAATTTTGTTTCAGGGAACGCTCCAAATTACTTCCCGAATAGCTTCAAGGGTTTGAAGGAATCTGGCAAAACGATGGAAAGCGTATGGAGCGTATCAGGAGACGTGGCTCGTCACGAATCCATCGACGAAGACAATTTCGAACAGCCACGGCAGTTCTGGGAAAAGGTAAAGTAGTCAGTAGTAAATTTTTTTGAAAATTTTCCGTGGAGCCCGATGGCT